CCCGGGGCTGCTGTGTCCTTCCACATCTTCCTCCTGCATCCTTCCAAACCCTCCTGCACCCTCTTGTCCTCTGCAGCATCTTTCCCTGCCCTTTTGCGTCCTTACTCGCCCTCCTCCATCCCACTGCATCCTCCTGCACATCCTGCATCCTCACACATCCTTCCACACCCTCCTGCGCCCTCCTCAATGCCACATTGCGTTTGCAGCCCTCGTGTCCCCACTGGAACAGAGCATCACTGGCCATCACAGCATGGCCAGAACCCCAAATCCCCTTTTTCCAACCCTCTCTGCACCACTACACTTCCAGGCCTGTACCCACTTGGCTTTTGGGACACAAGGCTGTGATCCTGGGAGCTGCAAAGGGAAATGGGCAGGGGGGGATGGACTCGGCTGTCTCCTGGTGCAGGGGCTTTTGAGGAAAAAGAGAAGAGCATAAAATATTGCTGCCTTCTCCTCTTTTTCTCCCTGTTGTCAGGAAAATTAATCCACAAACACCAGAGATTTTTTTCCAAAAAGGAGACAGAGGAGTCCTGTTACTCTCTTTGAATAAAGGGAAAGGCCATGGGGCATTCCCCGGGGGTCTCTCAGATTTTTTGTGGATGCAGCTTCCTTTTTAACCTAATTTCCCATCTGCATTTCCCTCTCCCTTTCCCCATTGGCTGAGGCATTTGAGAGGTACAGACTCCATGGATACCTAAGACACCCTTCTCATATATACCCCCCACCCCAGTTTTCTTTTTCTTTGTGTCTCTCTCTTTTTTCTCTAAATCCAGAGATTTAGCACAGTCTTGAGTGAATCTCATTTAATCGCCACAAATTTGTTTGCATTTCTGAGCAGGCATCAGCCACACCCAGAGCAATTGCTCTGAGTCTGGTTTGGCCATGCACATCCCTAGGACTTATTTAATTTTAGTACAGAAACTCCCTGACACCGCTGGATTTTTTGCTTATGCCAGCAGATATAATTGTATCAGCTACAACCTCCTTGTGCCCAGTGTGAGAGTGCAAGGAAAAGTGAAATAAGGCCATTTTGAGCTCACATTTCTCTCCCTCTCTTTATTCCAGAAGTGTTAATTCATCAGCAGTGGATCTGGCCCCTGGGTGGGGAATGGCAGATCTCAGGTTGCTCAGCCACAGATTCCCAGGTGACTTCTAAATTTCATTTAATTCACTGGCCCCACAACCAGATTTCCTGTGTTTGTGGATAACTCCCTTTCCTTTGTTATAAGTGCATATTATATTATTGGCTTTTCACAAATATTAAAGTAAATGTTATATGTATAAGGTTAGAAAACTTTGTTGTATTAATATAGTTTCTTCTATTTCTGTTATTGATGAAACTTAGAAATAGTGGTATAATACACATATATGTTAGGCTATAATGTGATACTAAAGCAAAAACTACTTTTATTTATATAATCCAGAGACTGAAAAGACAGCCAGAGACCCCCTGCATTCTTAGATTATCTTGTCCTCCAAGGTCTCCAAGAGAAGCATTTATTGCATCCACTGTCAGAGGATATAAAGCCCAGTGGCACCAAGAAGATTGATCTATTGGGAAGGGGGCAAGGTAAAAACTAAACAAAGGAACATCAAAAAACTTAATAAGAATATATGAATATGTATGAGAACTTATGAATATGTAATATAAATCCCTGTTTTTAAGGGACAATCCTTTGTTAGTAAGGTGTGCTCTCTTGGCTGAATGCAGAGACACCCGGCCGTATTTGTATATTTTACTTTATTTTTATCTCCTAATTGTCTTTCTATTAAACTTTTAAATTCTATATAAAAAAATATGAACCTCATTTTTCACACCTTCAAGGAACTTTATCCGTACCCCACTAGTTTTAAGACAAGAGAACTATGTTCTTCATTAATTTAAAGTCTGAGCCCTCTAGGTTTAAAAAGATCCTTGAAGAAATACCAACTATTTTTCAATCCCTGTGTTCCTCATTGTGATAATAAATCTTTTTTTTTTTCCATCAGAGAACAAATAAACAGGGAGAGTGTCCCGAGAGCCAAAGCCTTATTGGGAT